GAGAAATCCTAGCCTCTTCAGTAATCTCTTTTCTCTTTGATATCCTTAAAACTTTATCCTTGATTTCTGCAGTTTATTTATTTTTTTTTTTTTGAAATGCCCAGCTATTTTTTTGCTGAAGCTGTCATTGTTGTTTGGCAGGCCCGGGCTGGATTCAAACCCGCCACCTTAGGTGTATGTGGCTGGCGCCTTAGCCACTTGAGCCACAGGCGCCGAGCCGATTTCTGCAGTTTTATTGTGATCTTTTTGTTTGTGTAGGACTCATTTTGCTTCTTGATGCCAAGCATTCATGTTTTTCATAAATTCTGGAAGATTTTAAAAGCCTCTTTGTCTTCCACTGTGGCCTTCTACTTTATTTCATTTCCATCTGAGAATCTTAACTGTGTTTGGACAAGAAAATTTGCTTGATTCTTCTCATATGTGCCTCTACCTTTGCTCCCTCATCTATAATTGTCTTACTCTTTTTCTAAGTCTAAATTTAAAATGTCATTTTTTGCATTATTTGAGATTGTCCTTCTGTTATATCAGATTTATGTTTTTCGCTATGTCTTTCAGCTGTCCTGGTGAATTGTTTCCAAGTGTATCTTTAAGTTATGGACTTAGGAGGTTTTTTTTGTTGTTTTGTTTTTTTTTCTTCTTTCTTTATTTTATTTTTTATTTTGTTTTTTTGAGACAGAGCCTCAAGCTATCACCCTGGATCACAGCTCACAGCAACCTCCAACTCTTAGGCTTAAGCAATTCTCTTGCCTCAGCCTTCCAAGAAGCTGGGACTATAGGCACCCACCATAATGCCCAGCTATTTTTTTTTTTTTTTGGTTATAGTTGTCGTTGTTTGGCAGGCCGGGGCTGGATTTGAACCCACCAGCTCTGATGTTTGTGGCTGGCACCTTAGCCACTTGAGCTACAGTGCTGAGCCTATTTATTTATTTATTTTTTTGACACAGTCTTACTTGTCACCCTCGATAGAGTACCATAGTGTCGCAGCTCATAGCAACCTCAGACTCTTGGGCCTAAGGGATTCTCTTGCCTTAGCCTCCCAAGTAGTTGGGACTACATGAGCCAGCCACAACACCTGGCTATTTTTAGAGATGAGGTCTCACTTTTGCTCAGGATGGTCTTGAACGCAGAGCTCAGGCAGACTGCCCACCTTGGCCTCCCAGAGTGCTAGGATTACAGGCATGAGCCACTGGCCTTAGGTTTTTTCTATTAAACTCCTTTATGGCTGTGCTGTGGGAGCTCCAGTCCCAGTGTTATCAGTGGTGCCAAACAAACTAATGTTGCTTTCTAATAATTTGGGAGTTTCTGGACCAGGCAGTAGCATATATTCAAATGTAAAACCCATTCTGTGTAGTGTAGTGGTTTAGAGGTTAGGCCTTGAAGCTGGAACTCCTGTTTCATCCTTGCTGAGCTACTTATGGGGTATAACCTTGAACAAGATTTTAACCACCCTGTTTCAGTTTTTTCATCTATAATGGGATGATGAAACACCTTCTTATATAGTATGATGGCATAATAAGTCAATATATGTAAAGTTCTTAGAATAATGCCTGGTGCATAGTAAATACTTTCACGCTGTTAGCTGTTTTCTTGAACTTGATGAGAAAAGAGACAAACTTGTTCTTAGTTGTTATGCCTTTGAGTCTAGGGGTAAAGTTTTTTCTAGTCTACTCTTTCTCCAAGGGTGTATTAGCTCTTCAGGAGCACTGGCTTCTTGGGTCAGAGGGATTCTGTCAGCACCCGCTTCCTCCTTTGTGGAGGGCCAGGACATGATTTTCTGTTCCTTTGTGAGCATTAAGCCCTAATTCCTTAGAGTATTGAGATGGCCTTCTCCCTTCTCCCCTAGACACAGCATCTTTTCAAGTCCATACCCTTCTGGTTTCCCTTTTCCTTATTCCTGGCCCTTGAAAATTTCCCTTTCTTATAAGCTCAGTTTTGGATTTAAAACTTTTTTTTTTAATTATAAAACCTAAAGAGGGCTTTTAGAAGATTGTCTTTAGCCTTGGGAATTTATGAAACTAATTCATTATATTTTCTGTTTAGATTTCTTTTACCAGAAGAAAACATTTGCAATGAGATGTTGGTAAAATCCCAGTTTGTTGCTTGTATGGCTACTTGTCATTCACTTACAAAGATTGAAGGAGTGCTTTCTGGGGATCCACTTGATTTGAAAATGTTTGAAGCAATTGGATGGGTAAGTTTGTTTTATTTAAAGTATGAGCAACTTTAGGAAAATATATTAAAAATTAAATTACCTTATGAAAGTATTCTATCTGCTGGCACTCATTGTTATTGTTTTTGTTTTTTAACTCTTTTTCACATCAGATGGGTAATGTGCCAACACCATAACAAAGTTTGAGAGAATCATATCTCACACATGTGCATGAACGCTCAGTCATCACACTTAGGAACTATAAAAGGATCTGTTGGCTGTTTTGATGACAGTCTATCTTCTATTGTAAAAGGAACTAACTGTAATTTCTTAAAGATACATCACTAGAGAAATGTTAAAAATTATGTAAAAAGTATCTGTTAAATTAGTTCATTTAAATACTTTTAATAGAGGTTGACCAACTCAAGGCCCTGGTTTATGTTTATAGGATAAAGCAGACATCAGCAAGCAACTTGGGGCAGTAGCCCAGAAGTCAGTAAGATGACCTTGAGTCTCACAAGCAAAAAAGTATAATCAGGATGTCTTCAGTGTTCTTTTCTACCCATTGTCTATTTTCTTTTTTTGAGATAGAGTCTCACTATGTTGCCCTCACTGTGTGCTGTGGCTTAGGCTTAAGTGCTTCTCTTGCCTTAGCCTCCCAGGTAGCTGGGACTACAGGCGCCTGTCACAACGCCCAGCTGTTTTTTTGTTGCAGTTGTGTAGCTGGCGCCTGGCTGGGTTTGAACCCACCACCCTCAGTGTATGTGGCTGACATACCACTGTGCTATGGGTGCCGAGCCCCCATTGTCTATATTTCCTAATGATCTCCTTTCTCCCCTCATTATTGTTTATAACTTTCTTTTCTATATTTTCCATTGGTAATTTTAATTTCTGAGTGCTTATGTTTTCTGGTTATTATCACTTTACAACATTCAGTTCTTTTGAGGGGGGGCAGAGCCTCACTTTGTCACCCTTGGTAGAGTACTGTGGCGTCACAGCAACCTCAAACTCTTGGGCTTAAGCAGTTCTCTTGCCTCAGCCTCCCAAGTAGCTGTGACCACAGGTGCCCGCCACAATGCCCGGCTATTTTTCAGTTGTAGTTGTCTTTGTTGTTTGGCAGGCCTGGGCTGGATTCAAACCTGTCAGCTCCAGTGCATGTGGCTGGCGCTCTGGCCACTGAGCTATAGGTGCCGAGCCCAACATTCATTTCTTTTATAGATGCAATGATAGTTAATTTTTAGAGTTCCCGTCTGGCTTCTGAATTATTTATTTTCTTTGGGGTCAATTTCTTCTTCCTGTGCCTGGTATGTCTTCATGCTTTTGATTTTTATTATTTATCTGGGTGGTGCTTTCCTATTCAAGAATGAAGGCCTGTTTGATAATTCTAAATAGTTGTACTGAGGTCTTTATCCTTGTCCGTAGGTATATTAGTCTGTTTTTATGAGAAGGTGACAGGGGACTTGCTGTGTGTGGAGGGTGGGGGTCTCAACAGGGTCTTCCAAATGTTTTAGTTTCACAGGAACAGTTGCAGAGTTAGTTCACTTAATTTTACTCACCCACTCTCCCCAGACTTGCACAGTGGAGTATTTTACTCTGGAATGCTAACCCTCATGTTAGCAGCCTTTACTCCTTTCAAATGGAGAATTCATATCTCTAGAGAACACTCTCTGACTTTTGTTTTGTTTACCTGTACTGTTCTGACTGATAAGAAATATTTCCGTCTCTCCTGATATCTTCCTCTTTCTTGTGTTTATTGTAGGCTACTGTTTCCTTCACAGTTGTCTCAATTATTGTGTTTCAGTTTGCCCTTTGTCTCCATATTTGAAGTTCCCTTTCTCTGCTTTGCTTTCTCTTTACTTTTACAGGATTTCTTCTTTCTCTGTCTCTGTCTATTTTGTTAACATTTTGAAAGTGAAGGAGGTAGGTGATGTAGAAGTGTTCTATTTGCTATCTTCTGGAAGCCTACAATAAATATTCTTGAAATTTAATTCTTGAAAGGAGGCCCTTTTTCATTAATAGAAAAGCAAAATTGACTGATTTATCTTTGTTGTCTAAAACTTTTCTCCAGCTTTTTTTTGAGACAGAGCCTCAAGCTGTCCCCCTGGGTAGAGTGCCTTGGCATTACAGCTCACAGCAACCTTCATCTCCTGGGCTCAAGCGAGTCTCCTGCCTCCACCTCCCAAGTAGCTGGGACCACAG